CCGATGCTGTTTGCGGTCCTTGACCCCCACCATGGTGTTTAGGATTAGCCCTCTTCCTTTCCCTCCGATCACCTGGAGGGCACCCATGGGGTTGGTGCCGTGCCTCCTGGAGGAGCTGGCAGGAGCCGGCATGCTGGCCTCGCCCAGGCTGGCGTGGGAGCAGGCCTTCCTGGGGCTGGGGTCACATCTGCTTTGAAAGCCAGGTCAGTGGGACGCCCCAGGGCTGTCCTTGTGGTGACTGACCACCAGTGATGGGTACTTACTCTGGAATTTAGAAAGGCCACCAAAGACTTGTGCTGGAGGCATGGTCTGTTTACCCCTCGCTGACTTTGCCTTTCACCTGGAAGTGTGCCAGCCGGAAGGCCATGGGGTCCTGGTGGGATGGGTGGTGTTTGTGCCACCCACAGGCCACCCCACTCCCATGTCTGGAGAGGAGACCCCCCCTACTGAGTAATGAAGGGAGCCCTGCAAAGCATCCTCTGTTGGGTAAATCCTGTGCTGCCTGGGCTGGGGCGCACCTGGGCACGCTTGGGGGGATGTCCACCAAGGGCTTATGGCATTTTCAGACCCTACTGCTGTGGGCAGCCTGGCTCTGGGGGCCCCCTGTCAGGAACCCACAGAGTGGTAGCTGGAGGGGGTGTCCACAGCCCAGGCAGCCCAGCAGCCTCCCACTCCCTTGTGCCTTGTGTGCTGACTGAGAGGGCAGGCCTGTCCCGCAGGCTGTGGGGCTGAAGACTGGGAGCGAGCCCTCCCCAGGGTGTCTCGGGGTCCACAGGCTCCTCCCCACCAGCCCAGCCTCGTGCTGCCCGGAAGCCAAATGGCGCACCGCTGGCCAACCCCGCAGGGCTTGGTGCCCTGATGTGCAGGTTGGTGCAGCCGCTCGGGACTGGGGAGCTGGGGGGGCAGGCCTCCCTGGTTGCCCCCTTGGCACCCCAGACCGCTAATGCTCAAGATCTCTGATGCCCAGGACGGCTGCTCAGACACACATGACTAGTTCTCAGGTTCTGTGCCCTAGACTGATAGAATGTGCACTTGAAAAAGCCATGACTGAAGCCAAATTAGCATATTTACCTTCAGCGCTCCCACGGGCACCATTAGGGGCTTGGAGATGCCATGGCGGCCGCAGCATGTGGTGACAGTGACCATGGATGGGGCCCGTGGCACCTGGCTCTCCAGGCTCCTGAGTGCTGGCCCAGCCTCCCCTGCTGCTCTCGGGGCCCCTGGCACCCTCATCCTGGGAGGTGGTGGAGACCGAGTAGTGGGCTGTGTTCCAGCCTCCAGGCTGCAGGGCCCAGGCCAGGGCCCACGCACCCACCCCACCCATGATGGCAGCCCTTCCCACGCACCCACTCTAGGCCTTGCTCAGCCCCGTGTGGCTGCCGGCCTGGGCACCCCAGGCATGTCCTCTGGCCCAACTGCCTTCATCAGCTTCCCGCCCAGGAGCATGGAGCCCTGGGGTCCTGTCTGTGGGTGAAGGGGCCTTGTGTCCATGTCCACTCCTAAGAGCCAGGTCCCAGTTCCCCACTCAGAGCCAGTGTCCCAATCTGTAAAATGGGGGCAGCGGTATCTCCTGAGCTTAAAGAAAGAAAAGCCTCGAGGGATCTGGAGGTGAGGCCATGAGAACGATTCCCTAGGTGGTTCAGGGGCCCTCCCACATGTCCGCTCTCCTAGTGGAAGCAGGATTCTGAGGCCAAGGGACCGAGGTTTGGGAATTCTAGGCTAAGGGCAGTGGGCATCCAGGGAGCCCCTGGCTGCTGCTGTGCAGGATCGAGGTGCCTGGGGCCCTTGGGGGGATTGTACCCTTCAAATAGTTTTTTTTTGTAAATTCAGCATGGATTGTCTAGACGCACTACTGAAAATTGTATTATAAACACTATAATGATATTTGTTTTGAGCACACCTTTGTAATGAGGTACAAACTAATACTCAAATTCATCAAACTGCTTTTGCTCACCTTTTATTACCACGTGGGTGGCTGTTTTAAGCACGCCTAGCCGTGCAACCCACAGACCAGCTCCCAGATCCCAAATGAGGGTTTGATCTACTTTTATGCAGCCACTGTACCTGTGTGTGTGACCGGGGGCAACCCTAGACCCCTCTTACCTGCACCACTGCAGCCTGGCTTCTGGCGCCTGGATGGGTGTGTGGTTCTGGAATCGTGTATGTGGGCTGGGGTCCGCTGCTTTGCTCGGCACTCTGACGTTCAGGGGTGCCCGGTGAGCACTTCCGGGTGGGTGGTGGTCCTCGGGGGATGTCCCCACATTTTCAGAATCTAATCTGATGCTGTCAGTTTCTGGGTCATTTGCACTTTGGGGCTCTTAGGAGCACCCCCTGCCAGGAAGCTTCTGGGGCTGCAGTGCAGGTGACCCCCTGCAGGTCGCCCGCGTGGCCTGTGCTGGGAGGCCCCCTGCATCTCCCCTACGACTGCCTCGCCCGCCTGGCCCCTTTGGGGAGTGCCTGTTGAGGCTTCTGCCTCCCTCCCTCCTTCCTCAGTTTACTTTTCTTCATTTACAGGTTCTGACCGCACACCCTTTGCTTTGCAAATATGCGCTCCTCGTATTTTCACTCTGAAAGGTGGCCTTTGGAGTTCTCGATTTTAATGAAACACAGTTTATCAGTTTCCCTGTGGCTGGCGCTGTTTGTGTCAGGGTGGGACCTTTTTTGCCAAAGGTCACATTTCTCTTCTGTTCTTGAAGCTTGACTCCCTTTTGCATGGAGGTCTGATAAAGTAAGACTTAAGCATTTTTTAAATTGTGATAAAATACGCATAATAAAATACACCATCTTAGCCATTTTGAAGTGCACGTCTGGGGCATCAGGCACATCCATGTGCTGTGTGGCCGTCCCCACTATTGTCTCCAGAACCTTCCATATTCCCAAACACTCACCTCCCTGCCCCTCCCCAGCCCTGGGTCCCCACCCCCGCTGTCTCTGTGGTTCTGACCCTCCAGGGGCCTTCTGGGAGTGGACTCCCACAGCATCTGTCCCTCCGCGTCAGGCTCCTCTCGCGGAGCGTGGCATCTCTGAGGTCCCTGCGTGCTGCGGCGTGCGTCAGCCTCCTTTTGAGGGCTGAGTAATACTCTGTGGTGTGGACGGGAATGCTGGCTAAGAGCTTTTGAAGAACTCAGTATTTGTAGTCATCTAAGAAAGAATGCTGGGCTTGGCTTATCCATTTAGTTACATGATTGCTCAATGTCCTTCAGGGCAGGAAAACTTGGCCCTTTGGGGTTCTCTTTGCTAATGGGCAGAAATCATTGTGTGCATCTCTTTGGGGCACAAGTCTAAAAGCTAACTGGTCACAGTCTGGGATGTAGTCAATATCAAATAGCACATCAAATGGGTATGAAACAATCCTCTGAATCAAACAACCCTGGTGGGCCAGCTGGACAGCCCCCCATCACTCGGGAGGGGCACACAGTCACCTGTATATCCAAGCTTTTGACAACTGTCCTTGACAGTAACCTTTTGTGGCCCTAAGTGTTCTCCAAGCAGCTTTTAAAAGGTGGCCATCTCTCGTGTGGCCCGTTGCGCAGCGTACCTGGAGGAGCCTGGTGGCTGAGCCTGTGCAGCCCGGAAAGCTGCTGCTCTGGCCCATCCCGGGTCCTCAGGGGCCCCCACTGTGCGGAGCTTCCCCCTCAGCCGCCGTCCGCTGGTCCGGCCCCGTCGGCATGTGAAAGGGGCTGGCTTCTTCAGGTACCTCTGCCATGAAAGGGAAAGAGACTGAGTCCCGAGGCCCCGGGAGCAGGCACGCTGTGTACACAGTGTTCCCTTAAGTCTGGAACCAAGGCTTCTGTGCCAGACGGACCTAGAATAGGGGGGGTGTTCTTCCCTGATATTCATGAGCCCATGACTGCGCGCGCGGCCATGAAGGCATCTGGAGACCTTGTCCCTTCCTCGGTGGGTGTGACAGTTGTTAAGGGGCAAGCATGGCCATTGTGGACGGCCCTCTTTCTGGCCTACAGCTTTCAGGGAGCAGAAGCCACCTGTTGATGGCCAGACGGGATTAGTTCGTTTTACAGCCCATCCGTGCCAGCCTGGAGGGAGGCCTCTCCTGGGCATTGCATGAGGGTTTGGTTACGGTCCCCTGCCCAGTAAGAACACAAATGGACAGTGGGGGTGGGGGGGAACAGTTCCGAGCTCCTGGGAGGGGCTGTGTAAGAATTACGTTCCTGCCGGGGGCGCTTGCCAGCCCAAGGAAAGCTGACCGGGGATTTGGCACCTCTTCCCGGGCAGCCCCTACTGTGGAGTGCAGAATACCGACACACCGAATAAACCCACCATCCCCAACTCGCACGCTGGAAACAAACGTTTGGGAAACTACAGAGTATGGTCAAATGCAAAGTACAACTTCATTTATTTTAGGGTCTGGTTTGGAGAAGGCTAAGTCAGCAGCATTATCAGAAGAGATGTGGACACTTGATTAAGTAGAACAGTGAATGATTTTAGCCTGGCTGTCTATTAACTGGAGGGGCAATCCAGTTTTTTTAAGCAGCCTTAAGTAGGCATGGACGTGGCCTAATCAGCGCAGAACACTAGAAGGTGCTCACTCATTCCTTGTTTCGGTGACGGCTGGCATGGAAAAATATTTATCTTCTATCCCGTGGCCTTGATCAGCTCACTTACTAGTTCTAGAAGTTTTTTTTTTTAGATTACCTGGATTGTCTTTGCAGACGATCCTGCCATCTGCAGTGGGGTGCTGTATTTTGTCCTTCCTAATGTGTGTGTTTTCTTGCTTAACTGCTTTGTGTCGAGTCAGTGGTGGGGACAGACGTCCATGCCATGTTCCCCATTGTAGGGAGAGAACTTTAGCTGTAAGATTTTTTTTTTTTTGAGAGGGCATTGCTCATATTTATTGATCAAATGGTTGTTAACAATAAAATTCTGTATAGGGGAGTCAATGCTCAATGCACAATCATTAATCCACCCCAAGCCTAATTCTCGTCAGTCTCCAATCTTCTGAAGCATAACGAACAAGTTCTGAGAGTTTTTTTTGGTCACAGATGGATGTCAAATGGTGTCGGTGCATCTTCGGCATTGAGTGGCGTGTGTTCGTGTGGTTTTCATCAGCCTGACGCGGCGGGCCACACTGACCAGCTCTCAGGTGCTGAACCAGCCTCGCCTCCCTGGAGTAAATCCCACCTGGCCGTGGTGTGTAATTCTTGATCCTTCGTTGACTTCTGTTCGTTGATACTTTGTTAAGGATTCTTGCATCTGTATCATGACTGACACTGGTCTAGCTTTCTTCTTCTGGCACCATCTTTGTCTGGTTTTCACACCAGGGTAATACTAAGCTTCTTGAAATGAATTGGAAAGCGTTCCTTCCTCTTCTGTCTTCTGGGGAAGATTGTGTACAAATATGTTAATTCTCTTTTCAACAGTTGGTGGGATTCACCAGGGAAACCATCTCGGCTTTGAGATTTCTTTTTGACAATTTTAAAATTACAAATTCAGTTACCCTAATAGTTGTAAGGCTGTTTGGATCCTGTTTCATATCAAGTGAACTGTGGTAGTTTTTCCTCCCTAGGAATCGGTTCATTTAATTTAGGTTGTCAAGTTCATGTGTGTAATGTCCGTATTAACTACCTTGTTCTTTCCGTCTGCAGGGTCTGTAGTGATAGCCCCTGTCTCATTCCTGGCAATTAGTCTGCTCTTTCTTAGGCAGTCTTACTAGAGGTTTATCAATTTCACCGATCTTTTCAAAGAACCAGCTCTTTGTTTCATTGATTTTTTTTTTTCCTTTATTGCTTTTCTATTTTCAATGTCATTGATTTCTACTCCTACCATGATTTCCTTTGTTCTGCTTGCTTTTTTATTTTGTTTTTTTTCTAGGTTCTTGAGATGATAGCTTAGATTATTGATTGAAAACTTCCTTTTTAACATTCCATGCACTTAGTGCTGTGGATTTTCCTCTCAGCTCTTGAGTCCGCGTCCCATGAACTTTGATGGGTTGTTTTTTCCTTTCCATTCTATTTGATTTCCTTGAGACTTCCTCTCTGAAGCGTGGATGGCTTAGCGATATGTTGTATGTCTCCAAGCGTTTGGAGATTTCTCTGTTAACTTTTCTGTTACTGATTTCTAGTTTGAGTCGGTTGCGGTCCGAGAACATGCTCTGTAGGACTTCAGTTCTCTCACTTTCTCGAGGTTATTTCAGTGGCCCAGGGTGTCGCCTATCGTGGTGGATGTTCCGTGGTCTTAAAAAGAATGTATGTTCTTCTGCTGTCGAGTGGATGGTTCTGTAAATGTCGATTACATGCTGTTAGTTGTGCAGTTCTTTGTGTCTGTGCTGATTGACTGTCTGGTTCTCTCGGGGTTGAGGCAAGGGTTGTCGAAGTCCCCAACTATCTTGTGGAGTGGCCTTTCACTTTTGTAGTTCTGTCTGCCTCAGCTGCGTACATTTTGCTGTCCCGTTGTCTGGTTTCCTACTCGGTTAGGACGGCTATGTCTTCTGGGTGGATTGACCCTTTGATCTTTGTGAACCTCTCCGTCTCTGGTAATTTTCCTTTGCTGTGAAATCATCTGCTTTATTTGATATAGCAACCCCTGCTTTCTGTTGATTATGTTTGCATGATTTATATTTTTCTAGCCTTTTCATTTTAACTTGCCTGTATCATCGTATCTGAAGAGAATGTCTTATAGACAGCATATAATTGGGTCACAGTCTTTTTACCTTCTCTGCTAATCCCTGTGTTTTGAGTGGCATATTTAGGGCATTTACACTTAATGGAATTATTGACGTGTCAGGGCTTAAGTCTGCCGTTTTAAGTTTTCATTCTGTTCCTTGTTTCTGTTTTTCCCTACTTCCTGTGGCTCACTTGAACATTTTTTAAAATTTCATTTTGATGTATCTGTAATTGTTTTTCTTTTTGAAATAGCAGCTTTATTGAGATATAATTCATAAACCACACAATTCATCCATACAGTGTACAGCTCAGTGGTTTTTAGTCTACTCAGAGTTGTGTGACCATTATCACAATTGATTTTAGAGCATTTTCATCACCAAAAAGAAGTGCCATCCCTCCTAGCAGGCACCTCCATCCCCTCCCTCCTTCCTGAGCCACCACCACTCCCAGCTCTAAGCAACCACCCATCTCTCTTATGTCTTTATAAATTGCCTATTATCTGGACATTTCACATAAATGGAGTCATATAACATACGGTGTTTGTGACTCGTTTTTTCACTTAGCACGTTTTCGAGGTTTGCCCATGTCTTGTATTTATTAGTGCTTGGTTCCTTCTTATGGCTGAGTAGTGTTCCATTGTATGGGTAGACTGCACTTCGTTCATCCGTCCATTCGTTGGTGGGCATTAGGGTTGTTTTCACTTTTTAGTTATTATGAATAATATTGCTGTGAATGTTCATGCATAATTTTTTCGTGGATATAGGTTTTGTCTCTTAGGTATATACCTAGGAGTAGAGTTGCTGGGTCATATGGTAATTCTGTATTTTAACCTTTGAGGAGCTTCCAGACTTTTCCAAAAGTGGTTGTACCATTTTACATTCCTACCGCATCTTCAGCAGTAAGTTCTATCTGTGTGTGTTTGTTGTAACCATCGTAGTGAGTGTGAAGTGTTCCTCACTTTTGATTTGCATTTCCCTAACGGCTAATGATGTTAAGCGTCTTTGTGTGCATATTGGACGCCTGTGTATTTTCTTTGGAGAAATGTCTCTTTAGATGCTATTCCCATTTGTAAACTGGGTTATGTGCCTTCTTACTGTTGAGTTGTCAAAGTTTTTTTTTTATTCTAGATACAAATTTCATATCAAGCATATTGTAGATATTCCTCTCCTATTCTTTGTCTTTTTACTTTCTTGTTGGTGTTCTTTGAAGCAGAGAAGTTTTTTAATTGAATGAAGTTTAATCTATCGGGTATTTTTTTATTTTGCTGTTTATGCTTATGATGTCATATCCAAGAATTCATTGCATAATCCAAGGCCACAAGATTTACCCCTATGTTGTCTTCTAGGAATTTTACAGTTTTAGCTCTTACATTTAGGTCATTAATTCCTTTAAAGTTTTGTATATGGTGGGTTAAGGGTCCCACTTCATTCTTTTTTACATGTGGATTTCAGTTGTCCTGGCACCATATTTTGAAAAGACTTCTTTTCGTCTTGAATGGTATTGGCACAGTGCTGAAAAATCAGTCAACCACAGACACATAGTTTGCTGTGGGTTCATACGTCTATCCTGATACTGGACCGCACTGTCTTGATTACCGTCACTTTGTGGAAAGTCTTGAAAATGAGGAAATACAAGTGCTTCTACTTTGTTCTTTTTCAATATTGTTTTGTCTATTCTGGGTCCCTCGCATTTTGATGTGAATTTCGGGATTGGCGTGTCAGTTCTGCAGGGTGTCAGCTGGGATCTTGATCAGTATTGCACTCAATCTGTAGATCAATTTGGGGATATTCCCATTTTGATAGTATTAGATTTTCTAATCCCTGAACATGGATGTCTTCCCATTTATTTAGATCTTTAGTTTCTTTCAATAAAGTTTCACAGTTTTCAAAGTATTCATTTTACATTACTTCTGTTAAATTTATTCCTAAGTATTTTGTGCTCTTTAATGTCATTATAAATGGAACTGTTTACTAAATTCATTTTCAGATTGTTCATTTGAAGTGTATAGAAGTGCATTTTGTTTTTTTGTATATTGATCTTATATCCTACAACCTTGCTGAATTTGCTTATTAATTTCATTAGACTTTTGATTGGTTCTTTAGAATTTTCTTTATACAAGACCGTGGCATTTTACGTGTAGACACGTTTTACTTTTTCCTTTCCAATTCATTTCCTTTTCTTGCCCAGTTGCCTGCGCTAGAACCTCTAGAACGGTGTGGTCTTCCTTGCCTTGTTCTGACCTGAAGGGGAGACACTCAGGCCTTTGCCGCCGAGCGTGATGCTGGCTGTGAGGTTTTCATGTAACGCCCTCCATCAGGTTGAGGAAGTTTCCCCCATTCCTAGTTTGTCGAGTGCTTTTTATGTACTGAGCATTTTTTTTTTTTTT